GAACAAAGGTCAAAATAATCATTAGATAACAACAACCGAAATGATACCTCCGAATCCGCATTCGATGGCAAGATCTATCCGAGATTCTAGTTGTGAAGTGAGATCAGATGAACATATCCTAGAAACTACTCGAATGACTGATAGGTACATCAAAAAACCTATGCTTCACGAGATTAAGCGAGATAATGCGCACATACCTGGTGATCTTGGTAATGGTACGATTCTCGTTTCCCAAATTAGCATTGATGAAAGGTTCGTAAGGTTGAACAGCCGAGCCAACGAAATATATGTACATCCCTCTCGAAAAACCAAAAACAGTGCTAAAGCCTCTCACATATGGGGCATCTGGAGCACTTTGCGCAGGACGCAGCGACCTAAGAAAAGAGATTCATTTCCCTCACCAATCGATGCGCAGTATTTGCTAAGGCAGTAGAAGTTGGTTATCATCTAATCCCTGAACGAACCTAGGGTTATTGGTAGGAAAAGCTAAGATTGCAGCTCGAGTCAGCTCTGCTACACGAACAAATAACTTCCCAGAGTAGTATGCAGAGGAAACGTCCAGTAATGACGTACTATTCTCACCATTCCAAGAAAGGGCGAGAGTATCACAAGACCACTGCTTATTTGATGCTGCGCACAAGCTGAAACTCAATGGCTTGAACAATTTGTCGATTGCTATTTCAAGACATTTACAACAACTATATCATTAGCCCCTACGTCCTTATAATATACTTCTACAGAAAAAACGCTGTCATGGCGATTTTTCGCCGAGGTTGTGAATATCGCTCAAGCCCCATGAAAAAACGAAGCTTTCGCAAAAACTGAAACACTTGTTAGACATCTTCAGCCGTTATCTACAATTTCAATATGAACGTCTCAAATGGTGATGATGCTCGTCACAAAATCTTCATAAGATAAATTCCCCATTATAAGCAACTTAAAGCTAGACATTATTCAGAAATACCTCCAATTCATAAAATTACCCCGAGCTTCTTCTTAAGATGAGATTAAGCA